GTTGCTCAACTTTTCCTGAGTATATAATAAGCATTCTCTTACCTCCAGTGTGCACAAAATTTTACCCACTTTCCTTTAAGCCATCACCTGCAGCAGCCTCAAACGCATTAACTTTCTACAAACAGTTTCTTCAAGGCTCTTAGCCTTCATCTCACCGATCTGCCAGCTATCATCTATTACCTGATTCCAAAGGCTGTCTCCCATATTTTAGGTGTTTGGTATGGCAGCACCCCACTTCCAAGTACCAAGATATATATTAATTCTGTTTGCGTCACAAATTATCCTAAACCTTAGTGCTTTAAAATAATAAACATCATCTTAGTTTCTGAGAGTTAATAATCTGGGTGGTTTTAGTTTAGAGTTTGTCCTAGGTTGTGGTCAAGATACTGGCTAGTGCTGGTCGTCTGGAGGCTTGACTGGGAATGAAGGATGTGCTTCCAGACAGGCTACTCACAGGGCTATTTATAGGAGTCCCTGGTTTCTCACTGGCTGTTGGCAGGAGACCTTACTTTCCTCTCACATGTGTTTTTCCATAAGGCTCCATGAGTTTGCTCACAACATAGCTGGCCTTCCCTGAGTATGGATTCTTAATGGGGTGCTATTGACCCCATTAGGTGAGAGTTGGTTCTTTAGAGGGATCTGAAGATCTAAAAAAACTTAAGATTTTATAATGGCATATATCCTTCCAAAGGGTGATGGTACAACAGATATATAATAAATTTGTGGCATTAAAATTTTATTGAGGGGTCTATTAGGAAAAAATACCTGGAAGGCTACTTACGTGGGGAATAATGAAAACAAGGTTGAGAAACACTGTCCCAGAGGTAATGATCTAAGAAACAGCAGGAGGAAGCCGTAATGCCTTTTATGACTTGGTCTTAGAAGTAGCACCCTGCCACTTTCGCATCATTCTTTTTGTTAGGACTCACTTGAAGGGGAGTGTCAGAGAACTGTGACTTATCTTAAACCACCACTTCATGTAAAGAAGGATAAGGGCAGTCTGAGTAGAGGAAACAGCAAGTGCAAAGGCCCTGAAGCAGGAAGGTAACTAATGTGGGTAAAGCATGGTGAGGAAGAGGGAGAGTGCTGAGATGATATTGGAAAGGTTCTACATCATGTAGGATCTTGTAGGTCCTATAAAATCTTTTGTATTTTATTTTAAGTGAAACGATTATTTAAGTATTTAAGCAGAGAGTCACATGATATGGTTTACTTTAGAAAGAGATCACTTTGACAGAGTGTGTGGAGGAATAGGTGGGACAAGAGTGAAAGCATGGGGACCAATTAGAAGGTTCCTCCAGTGGTCCAGGTGAGAGATTAGGCACACTTTGACTAGGGAGGTAACAGAGGAGACCAAAAGAGGCAGATACATTGCACTTTCAAAGGTAGAACTGCGGTAGTTGATGATAGATTGGGAACAGGGAGGGGGTAATCAAAGATGACTTCTATGTTTTTGGCTTCGAGGATGTTGGTGCTGGTTGTTGATGAGAAGACTGGGTGAAGAGCAAATTTGGATAAATGAAGAGCTCCAGTTTTGGCCATGTTAAGTTTGAGATGTCAAATAGAAGGGAAGAAATGAGGACTCAACAAAAATTGGAAAATTTTAGTAATATTCTTTTCATGTTGAATCTTTTATATTTTCCTGAAAGCTGTATATGCATGTCCTTTGCTACTTCTTATATTATTCACAATGGGTGTCAATACTGCTTTTGCCTGGGATTTGGCTTATGATACTAGAGTATAGAAAAAGTTGTGGTCTGCAATATCTGCATAAGGATAATTTTTTAGTATGAACTTAAAGGCTTAGCACAAGTTTCTTTAAAATGTTTTGAATTGCAATAGTAATACATATTGCTAGTATCTAAAAAACACAGATTAGTAAAGAACTGAATATGCAAATTATCCTTAGTAATACTGCGCAGGGTATACGAACACTTGGATGTATATTATTCTAGTCTTTTATTATATATGCACTTGAGTACATACACAGATA